TATAAGTCAAACAAAGCTTTTATGTTGCCACACCAGAGCCTATTTAATCTTCTCATTTAAAATTTTCCACAAGTATTAGCCTTGTAACAACAGGGACAAAACATGAAAGCATTCCTCAGTGTACACAATAACTTGTCTTATGTAAGAAGAGCAGATGGCCAGCAATGCTGACCTTTCCACTTAGCTTGTAGTCTTTGTGGAATGTAAATCGTGTGCTATATCATGTAAACATTTATTTAATTTTTAATTTTTCAGACGGCCGTCCTTTGTACATCCTGAGGCTCGGCCAGATGGACACCAAAGGACTGGTGCGCGCTCTCGGGGAGGAGTCTTTGCTCAGACATGTATGTAACACACACTGTGCTGCAGTTAAGGTTTGTGTTTGTAGTGCAGGTTGATGAGTTTATAGGTCAGATAGGGTTTCTGCCACAATATTTGTTAACTCCTGCTTCTTTGAATCGCACAGGACAATTTGATAACGCACTCATTAATTTACCTTTGTTATCAACCTGATGCTTTGTTCTATTAGTTGCATTTCTACACAGTTGGTGCAAGAGAGAGAAAAAGTGGGCAATTCAGGCCAGGCAGGCCGCTGGGTTTGTAATACACGGGCGGAAGCGCTGGGTCAGGTCTGTTTTGGATTACAGGTTAGGGAATTAATGTCCGGTGGCATTTCCTGACAGGTAAATTAACACCAGGCTATATACAGAACACAGGCTGTGTAAAGGGTGCTGATTTATAATGCTGCCGTGACTGTGGAGTGGAGTCTGGGAGCCAAGTGTGTCAAATGTACAATTCATGTCACTGCAGGTGCTTTCTATCAATGAGGAGGGTCTGAGACGCTGTGAGGAGAACACAAAGGTGTTCGGTCGGCCAATCAGGTAAACCTTTACAACCTGTCAATATGTTTGATTGTTGAAAAATTCTTGGACCTCTATTATTCACCATATATGTAAACCAATATATCTCTGCCTCTCAAAGGTGATACTACTTTATATTCCACTGGTCCTTGCTTTAAATCTGCAGACTGCCTTTGAGTTTAGTTCAAGAAAAGAGTAAAACTGAAATGCATCACATATTCAAACAAGGCTTTGACTGGAAGCTCAATTAACAACTCAAGAAAACTGAAGATAAAGACCTGATATAAATACATATGTACTATATACAGAAACAAATTGCTCTTTCTTCTATTACTCATAACACCGTTGTACAATTTCCTGTTTTGTCTGTGTCTGTTTATTGTGATGTTTTATATAAATATAAAACATATATTTGTTCAACTGTGCTTCATCACAAGTGATACTTTTCTCACTTGATGTTACAACATACAATAGTTTGATAGTCCTCCATAACAAACAAGAGAGTATCCCTGTGTGACGTTGACTTAAAAGGCTCCGTTTCAAAAGCTGTTATCTCTGCTCTCTGGTTACTTTTAAACATAGTACCTCCTCTCACATCACACGACAGTATGACAGAGGCTGCACCTCTTATTCACAATGACCATAGAAAAACTG